GGATGGGGCGCATAATGGTCCTTGGGTGCAAATGGCATCTATGAGTTGGGGAAGGAGGTTGTGAGTGATACGAGAGACATACCTGGTGCTTGACGCGTGTGGCATTGGCCGAGGTCTGCTCGTACTTGAGAAGCTGTTGACGTCATCAGCGGCATTGTAGTCTAGGCTAGATAGGATSTGCCATTCGTAGTCCGGGCGCCGAGCGCCAGATAGGATATCAACATTGGTTCTTCGTTGATGATGATGAGACTATTCCAACATTGTTGATTATGAGCTTTTGGTGTGCTCTTATTTGGTGAAACTCGTGATGGAATTCTGCTTTTGGTTCGAGGTCACGACTATCTGGTCTCATGTGTATGATGCTGTTTGGTTGCTGAGGTTCGCTATTCCTCATCTTCCTTGCACATCATGTGGGAGGCGCATACCCTCCCGAGGCCAAGGGGAAAGAAGAAGTGGAACAATGGCCCCAGAAGTATAGAGAGAGCCACGTACATGGGATAGTCATCCATGGTTGAGGACAACACAGGGGGATCCTCTACTGGACCACCACGTAGCTACCCCAGATGATCTGTGGTTTTTTCTTCATCTTTAACAATCTTTAAGCAAATAGCGGGTCTCGGGTAACGCTCCCGCGAGAGCCYGCTCTCCAGTGTTGGGAAACGCGGTGCGACCGGCAGGCGGACCCGACAGATACCGCGTGAGATCCTCGGTGCGGGCCGAACCGGTGACGGCCGTTGGGATTGCCGAGCGGGCCCGGGTAGGACGGCGAGATAGAAGTTTCAGGGATCTGCGCCAGACGATTCCCGAAACTTCTATCTGGTCGTCCGACCCGGGCCCGCGCGGCAATCCCAACGGTCGTCACCGGTTCGGCCTGCGCGTTCCGGTGTTGCTTCCTGATGTTTCGGTTCGGCCTGCGCGTTCGGGTGCTGCTTCCTGATGTTTGCATGCGTCGACTTTTGGCGCTTCGCGGTGTGGTGCTCGCTGCGCTCGGTTCGACGAGAGAGAGGGCGAGCTAAAGAGAGAGAGAGAGGGAGAGGAAGAGAGAGGGAGAGAGAGATTGGCAGGTGCAGACGTCAGGTTCGACTAGAGAGAGAGAGAGAGAGAGAGAGAGAGAGAGAGAGAGAGAGACATCTGTCGACGTTGAGAAAAGTGCGCCGGGGGAGAGGAGAAGAGGGAGACGATCGTGGCAGAGGAGAGAACAAGAAGATGTGAGAGGAAGGTGTTCGAGATTGCGTGGACATTGCGTGGAAATGGCGGACGAAGGTGAGTTGATCTTTTTTCCTTTTTCTTTTTCGGTTGTTTTTTTTTT